ACCCAGTTCACTCTTCTGACTTGCTCATCTGAGTTGGATAATGCACTGAAGTCTAGAGGAAGTAAAGAAGTAAGAGATTCACCATGTTTATCTCCGCTCAGTTAAACTGAGATTCAAAATTCAGGAAAAACAAAAAGCTGTGTAGGGGGTCTTGCACACAGCCAGACCCCAAGTATTTTTCTCTCTTGTGCTACACAAAAAATTCCATAACAGGAATCAAGTTCTGGAAAATCAAAAGACAACACAAGGCATTAAAGTCAGCATAGTTCACATTCATAATCCATGGGTCTAGGTGTGGAAAACAAACAGATTTGCCAAGTGTTGCTGGGGTTGTGACCATCTCCATGTGTGTGCATACATACACATAGTTTCCTATGTGTTTTGTTAGCTTATTGTACTCCCTCAAATCACTTCGTTAGTATTAATGTCCAATCACAATTTTTCAAGTGCTCAAAATTAAGTCAAAATTTGAATCTAAAAGCATTTCTCAGGAACAGATGTTAAGTATTCCATTGCACAGTAAACCCCCACCTCTCCCACTCCCTCTTATAAAATTAAATGTATTTTTAAAGCTCTATTCCAGATTAACAAGAAGTTGCTTGATTGAAACTTCTGCCCTCACCCCAATACTATTTACCCTACCTCAGGCATATCAACAAAGAAAGTGGAGGTAAGTTACTAAGATAAATCTTCAGAAACAATCAGTATCAAAATAGAAAGTGAACTTCATATCAATAAGTATTTTTTCAGTTATGAAACATGACTGGATCCCTTCAAACGCAGGATGCCAGGGACAGACTTGAAAGCTATTTCATGGCTGTGGTTTCAATTGTGTAGCAGTTACTGTGGTGGAATTTTACCCTACTGTGCTAGTGTCTTTGGCTCACATAAAAGGAAAAGACAACACTGTATTTAATTTTCTCTCTCCTCCACTGCAATTCTTTTTCCATTACACAGAAAAAAAAGAAGGCCATGGGGATGAGAAATAAATTAACAAATTTGAAACCTGATTTATAATAGCAGATAATAGCAATAATTGCAAGGAGCAGAATACCCCACTGCAACAGTTATAAGACTTCAGGCATAAAACAGTGAGAATGATAACATTCATGACTTCACATCAGTGACAAAGGTGAAACTAAAAGAAAATTAGAGAAAAACATTTTTAAAGAGCAGTGACATTTTTTGCATAAAAAAGGAATTAAAAATTACCTCCAACATGCACTGTATTTTTCCCACTACCTGGCTACCCCATGGAACCAATACAAACTTCTACCATTCTGAGAACAAATGAGGTATTTAATACGCCAGCCTTTCAGTAGCTACAGGGGACATGCAAGAAAACTGGAGAGGGACTATTTATAAGAGATGTAGTGATAGGACAAGGGGGAAAGGATTCAAACTTCAAGGGAGTAGGTTTAGATAAATATTAGGAACAAATTCTTTATTGTGAGGGTGGTGAGACAAAGGAACAGGCTGCCCAGAGAAGCTGTGGGTGCCCCATCCCTGGAAGTGTTCAAGGCCAGGTTTAAAGGGGTTTTCAGCATCCCTGTCTAGAGAAAGGTGTCCCTGCCCATGGCAGGGCGGGTTGGAACTAGATGACCTTTAAGGTTCCTTCCAACCCAAACCATTCTATGACATCTTCCCAGGTATAATTAACCTTTTTTTTTGCTAACAAATATCAATGCTGCTGTAGTTGTAAGTGTATCAATGCTGTGTAGCCATTGATAGTCTTTACAAGGAGAAAAAAAAGGAAAAAAATTACTAAAACAAAATCCTTCTGTTCTCTAGATGGATTTCAATTCAGTATACACTAAATATTACTTGATATCCTGAGAAGACAGCACTAATTCTTCACTAATTTTTAAGCCTACAAGCTAGGTAGTGCTATTATGGTAGTACTACACAAAATAAAGTTTGACTTTTCTTCTTCTCTTTTTTTAATTATCCTTTAGACAAACAATCTTGCTGTAGGAGAATTATTCTAGCTCTGTGGAAAATTCTCTTCGGCTTTCATACATACTTGATGAGCATGTTATAGGTAGCATGCTATAAACTGCTGAGTAATTGAAATGAAGATATATACATATCCCAGATATATATTTTGTCTCCCACCACTTTATCCCTCTGTACTGATTCCAAGTAGTAACAGAGACCTCGGTAGATCCTCCAACTCTAAATTACTTTCATTGCTTCTACCAACTATATAAGGGAACTCCTCAAACATTTAAACTGTGTCAAAATAAATTGTTTGAATATTTCTCATCTTCCATTTTCTAACAGTTAGGTTATCAGAAAGAATGTGTACTATTTGAGAAGAGGGATATATTTAGCAAGGAAACAGGAACCTTGTACTTTATAAACCACTAAGGTGGTAGTGTTGCATTCAGTTTACACAACTGCCTTTACCTGAATTAGGAAAAGTGGAAAAATATTGTCCAAATCCCTTTAAGGTATTTTCCCATTTCAATAACTTTCCCATTTATAAATAATTAAGTGTTCTGATAACCAAAGAATTAGAAAAATGTACACCATGAAGACCAAGCTAGTCCCAAATCAAAAGAACTCCAGTCCTGAAAGCTGGTCACTGCAGATGGACCATTCTAACCACACAATGCCTTACTCAATTAGAAAACAGCCACCACTAGTGAATCTGACTCCAGAATTAGAGTATTTAGATTAACAAAACTGTAGGAACATCCCTGCAGGTCTTTTGTTTGTTCATATTTCATTTCTTATCACAAAGTCCTTTTGTACCTGTAAAACGGTATCTAGTTTATCTTTGAAAAAGTGTAGCAGATAACTGTATTACTATTTTCTGATAATACACCAAATTTATGTTTCCTTGCTCTGTATTCAAAACGCATAAGAAATCCATATGGTAAACATAACTTTGATATGCACAGAGAATCAGATAAAGACAAAGGAAAAATAACAGAAGGAATCAATTTGCTATGAAAAAAAAAATCCAGAAAGAGAGCAGAACACTCAGGAATATTTAAAAAATGTCCATAATTTTTTTTTCCAATAGATTTCTGACAGCAGAATTAGAATAAATAACACTTATGCACTGAGTTTCTGATGCATAAAAATAGGGTTAGTCATGTCAAGTCTCTGGGCAATAGCCCTAACTGTTTTCTAAATGTTTCCTCCTAGAAAATAAAGAAAAAAAAATAACAGAAAACTGAAAGAATGATATTCTGTATAATCAGGAACTAGTCCACTTCATCCCAACAAGTCTTTTCAAAATTATTTAAAAATTCCACAAAACACACCACTCAACAGTTTGGTTTGCTATAAATAATTTCAAAGAAAATGAAAACTGGGTAAAGGGATTTATTATTTATGACACAACAGTGTTTCTGATATCATATTCACAGAAAGCATAAAGAAAGATGCCTCTACCTAATAGATTTTACATTTTTAGATTCTTGGCTACAGCTTCTTGTCTGTCTTCTCTTACCTAATAAATAACATCACAGTTTACAATATTATTGGATGAGGTTTTGAATATTGATAAAATTTAGTCCTTTTTATGTCTTCTTTTTTCAGAAACTCATTTTATATTTGGCATAGATACTCTTGAAAAGAGGAATGTCCTTTCCCTGTTTAGAATAAGTTTCTATACTAAAATACATTTTCTGTAAGAAAAAAAATTAGATTTGGCACTCCAAGACTTAAAACTTATATTGCAGTGAAAGTTTTAAATTAGGTCAAAAATTACAGCAGATTATTACACTGAAGAATAAAAAGTTTAAAAATATTTCTTGTACGAATCAATCTGTTCCTTCAACTTTCTGAATACTTCAATGAAAGACATTTAGTATCTCCTCTAAAACACTTTTTTTCTGTGCTCTCTGGAAAAACCTGAGTATCATTTGTTGTAATTATGTCCTAAGAAAGTTTAGCTGCTACAGATTTTTTTCTCTCCATATCTTGCACATTAAAAAATTTTGTGAATTACGGGAACAGGAAACATGATCCTTGTATGTACCAGATTTGGGCTGTGCATTGTCATTATGACTTGGTAGAGCAATGTTAAAGAGAAAGATTTTACAAAGCACCTCAGACATACACTAAATACAGTGAATAATCATGCAGTAATTTCTTTGAAAACCATTATACCTGCGAGAATAAAATAAGTAAACAGCTGAATATCGTTGGTGGAGCTTTGATTCTTTCACTCCCTAAAGGGATGTGTGCGAGATTTTGCTGGTGTCCCTGAAACTAATGAAAAAACAGGTTTTTTTCAGTCTCAGAGATTTTGGATTTGGTTTTGTTGGATTTTGGAGGGGGAGTAGTAAAGGGCAATTAAGTAGTACTAATGAAATCTATCAATGTGACCATAATTTGCTATCCCATTGCATCCATAGTAGGATTGGATCTTTGATAAGTAGTAGCTATGAACCAGACTCTACAGGGACTCAGATATACCTGTCCTGAGTTATTCCAAGTACAGCATTTATCAATAGGCTTGAAATTGCATACTGCTATGTAGTTCCTTTTTTTTGTTCAGTTTTTGTTTTTCTTTCTTTGTCTTAGCCTCTTTGCCTCCTGCTAAGTTCAGCACTGGAGTTAGAGATGGTGTACTATAACCTATTAACAAAAATTAACGATGGAGGGAAACATGTATTTTCACATCTCATTCCATCTACTCCTTAACTGCTAAACATTCACTTAGGTCACTGCATCTTGTAACACTTGTGGTTCCCTTGAGACCACTCTGAGTTCTTAATTCAAACAACATTCATGCTTAAAAATTTGACAACTAAGAAATTGTACAGTGTCATCATTTGGTATCAGAAGACAGGTAATGCACAAGAGTCTCAAGGCAACAATATTAATTTTTAATATAAAGTAGAACTGTGGAAGCTCTGAAGATAGAAGAAATACACAACTGTGTTTCTTTTTCAAGAGTACTTAATATTTAATGCTTGTTCCAACTACTGACACAGAATCACAAGCCTCCTCCACCCCACAATTATCTGATTTGGACCTACCGTTACTCCAAAGAAGTTGGTTTCATTCATAGCATCCAGGAAAATTTTGCCAAGTTTGTGATTTGTGTAGTTAAAATCTTCGATTTTTTGGTGCTTGGTGGTGGCATTCAGATACTTCATTGCCCGCTGCAGGGTCTTGGCAATCACCCATATTCCATCATAGGCATAACCATGAAATTTGCTGGATTGTCCATCACCACGCTTAGCATTGTATTCCTTTTCATACTGCTGTGGAGTCTGCAGAGGAGAAAAAACTGTTTTACCTCAATACTTAACATGTTACAGAGTTGCATCCAAACCAACACCTCAGACTGCACCCTCCTATTTAGAGACATGCATGACTAATACAGAAAAGGCCACCAAAACAAAAATTATGAAAGAAACTAAAATTCAAAAAACGTGCTGCCTGACTTATAAAACTGCTGATGAGAGTGGGAGAAAGATCTAGAAGACAGAGAGACTGAAAGCAACTGTGCTGCTTCACTGTATGAAGAACAACTTGCTTTATTTTGCTTTTGTACAAAAGGCTTTAGTTCAATCAAAACTACCAGTGTACTAGTGAGCTATCATACTTGAACAGAGAATAAGTCTGTATCCCTTCAAATTATTGTTCTGATTACACTCTACAGGATAATGTAAATCAAATAACCTTTTCTTAAGCAACCATTTGCTTAATATGAAATTATCTGAGTGGCAATTTGCCTATGTTTTACAAGTTCACTACATTCTTGATGGTGTGCTCTTTTATGATGAGTTGCCTTTCAGTAAAGTTGCCTTTCACGCTCACTCAGCAAGGCATGAAAGGTACATGGAAAAAAAAAGACGAAAATCAGCAAAATCAGGCATGTTTATTCATTGGTCAGAGTTTGTATGGATTTGCTCTGTGATCAGATGTTATGTGCTTTATGGAAATACCACATATTTATATATTAAAAACAAGCTTCACCTACTGCCCCCTAGTTCTGAAAGGCACAAATCATCACTGAAATTAGCTGTTTGCAGGAATAGGTTTAAATATAAAAGTTTTCTCTTTCTGTGCTCAACCATTTAACTTGACATGACACAGCACTATACCGCAATTATAATTCAAGCTTTAATGTACATTTGGCTATAATGTTCATACAGAGGGAAGAGGACAGATTTGAAGCAAGGGACTTTAGTGTTTTCTTACCCTGTAGAGAATTTGAATTGATTTTTACATATTTAAAAATTGCAAACCAGTGAAAAGATGAGAATAACCATGATGACTGCCAGGTCTCTTGGTAGAAGAATCATTTAGCTTCACCTCCCTTCTTGGTGCTTTATTGTGCCAATGCGCTGGTGAGACAACTGGTGGTATAATAAAATAGATGGAGGAAAAATACTAACCCTTCCTGATATAGTCTTTGATGTTTTCGAGCTGAGAGGCTCAAAATCCACTCCAATATAACCTTCCATGGCTGCGAGAAGATTTTTACTGAGACACTGTGAGGAATTAATCCAGGATTCCCACCAAAGATTTTCATACCACCCCGGAATAATCCACAGATATTTGCTGCCATACATTTCTTCATCATAAGCCTGTAAATAAAGAAAAACAAAAAAGATAATAGTCATTGTAATAGAGGTATTGAACATAAAAGCAATTGCTTTCTGTTAGCGTTTTTTTCCTTATTAATGAAATTATGGCATAATCAAAGGATTCACAAAGTATTTTGAACAGTTTAGAGTAGTCACTTGCTAATAATGAAGACTCTTTTCTTGAAGCCTCCTGCCTTTAGAATACAGGAAATTAGAAGAGAATTTACTAAATCCTATTCTGCTTTCAGTAGATCATTTCTTCAAAAACAGAAAACTGAAACTACATTCTAAAACTAGGGGAGTTAAAGAGGAACACTGGCAGAAGGCACAGTTGTGCACAGAAAATTCTTCATAACACAACTAGTACATGAGTGATAGGACTACCACCATGCTACCACATTTAAACTAAGTTATTATCACCCTTATATCAACTTAAAGACTACATAAACTAGGACTAGCTTAAACAAGAAAACTTGGATCATAGGCACCATCAAATCACAATGTGGCAAAGATGGATTAGATGACTGTGCTAAAACAGAGACCGCAGAGTTTCTTCTAAGGAGTATGAATCAATAGTAAATTGATAAAGCAAAATCTTAGTGATTTCTTTTTTTTTTTAGCAAGAAATTTCTTCATGTGAAATTCTGTACTGCTTGAATACTGAATACAGCCCACTGTACTCCAAGATACTGAGGTGGTGGTTATCTCTTTTCAATACTTAACAGATATATATAACTGGAAACAGAAATACTTTCTTAGTCAGACACATATGCTGTTGTACCTAAAAGCTGATCTATTCACAACAGATATTCTTTTTCATTGTGAAAAGTGTTCTAGGATAAAATTAGCAAGTTTTATCTCAGATGTTTCTCTCACTGTCTTGCAACTAGATATTTTTCTTTTGACATTTCAGTCAGACTCCATTTCAAAACAGCACATTTCATGCTTCTTGGGATCCTAATAGAAGCAATACTGGAGATAGAAGGCATAAGACAAAAAGTCCAATTTTCAGAAATACATGGCACAAGCTTAGAGCTCTTAACAGGAAAGTGGCAACATTTTCACAGAAAATATTACAGAAGGAGGAAATTATAAGAATGCAAACAGGACATATTAGTCATTCAGAAATAACTGTTTTGAAAAGTATCCCAAAGATCATACAAAAAGCGTATCAGATTTATATATGAATAGCAGAAAATATTAAATAGGGCAACCTCTTAAATATGTTAATACCTAAATTAAAAATGGGCTTTAAATCTGTGAATTCTATTATAGTGGTGCCAACTCAGTTCATAACTGTATTGTGCACAAAGCAGATTTGTTTGGCCACTGGTTACAGGAGCTTTTGTTCAGCTAAAATCAAATTTAATGTGTTTGTATACAACGCTGTTCAAAGTCCTCGTGTCTGAAACCTTATGTCTTGCATGTCATATCTTACTGTATTGGGTTTCTGTGGCCTGGTCATAGAAGCCACAGGGGTGGCTTCTATGAGAAGCTGCCAGAAGCTTCCCCCATGTCCTGCAGAGCCAATGCCAGCCAGCTCCAGGGACAGACTCACTGCTGGCCAAGGCTGAGGCAATCAGGAATGATAGTAACATTTTTGTGATAAAAATAAGAAGGGAAAAAAACCTCATTGTGCAGATCAAAAATGCAGCCAGAGAAAAGCGGAGTGAGAACATTGGAACAACCCTGCAGACACCAAGGTGAGTGGAGAAGGAAGTGGAGAAGGTGCTCCAGGTGCTGGAGCTGAGGCCCCTGTAGCCCATGTTGCAGACCATGGTGGAGCAGCTCCAGCCCATGGAGGACCATGGGAATGCAGAGATCCACCTGCAGCCCATGGAGGAGCCCATGCTGGAGCAGGTGGATGCCCAAAGGAGACTGTGACCCCGTGGGAGGCCCAAGATGGAGCAGGGGCCTGGCAGGGACCTGCTGACCCATGGAAAGAGGAGCCCACACTAGAGCAGGTTTTCCTGGTAGGACTTGTGGCCCTGTGGGGGACCCATACTGGGTCCTGTGCCTGAAGGAACTGCACCCCATGGAAAAATGACCCACATGGCAACAGTTTGTGCAGAATTGTTGCCTGTGGGATGGACTCATGCTGGAGAAGTTTGTGAAGGACTGTGTCCCATGGGAGGGACCCCACAGGAAGCAGAGGAAGGACTCCTCTCCCTGAGCAGTGGCAGAAACAACTGACCGTAACCCCCATTCCCCATCTCCCTGCACTGCTGGCGGGGGGAGGAGGAAGAACTTGGAAGGAGGGAGAGGTGAGGGAAGGTGTTTTTAAGATTTGTGTTCTTCTGCTCTGATTCAGTTAGTAAAAAATTTAATTAATATTCCCACTTTGAGTCTGTTTTGCCCATGATGGTAATCAGTAAGTGATCTCTCCTGGTCCTTGTCTCAACTCATGAACCTTTTGTTATATTTTCTCTCCTCTGTCCAGTTGCAGAGGGGAGTGAGAGAGCAGCTTCAGTGGGCATCTGGCATCCAGCCAGGGTCAACCCACTACACTTACTTATTCCACAATCACAGAACCATAGAATATACTGAATTGGAATCTGCAGAAATAGTCTTTCTCTTACTCATTAATTCTACCCTTCCAGAAACACATCTGCTTTTGTCCCCCTGCCCTTCTCCACTCCTGCCACAGCTATGGCAACACCGCATCCCAGATCCACGTGGGTGGAAAACAGCAATCCCATCCTGCAGTACTTCCTTAGGTATAAAAGAGCTTCCATTACACAATTAGGTTATTCAAGACCTTTCAGTGACACAGTGTCCTTTATTTGACAGTTTTCAAATCACTAAGGACACAAACTGACACAGAATAGTGCTTTTAGAGAAGGACAAACTTATGTAGCTTCCCCCTGCTCTATAGAGATTAAAGTATCAAATTGTGTGTTGCCAGAAAGTATTGGCTGTGAACTATTCTGAAATTAGAGCTGTTGGAATTTTCTGTTTGCATAAGCACTTGAACTGTTTCCTGCATAATCTGTGAATGCCCTGGGATATGTGATGAAAATTGAATGTTTCAAAAAAGCCAGGAACTCCATCCTGGAAATGAGGGATCATTCCCAGCATGGGTGCACTGAAAGTCTGGTTGCATTTTCACATTTCTGCAATAATTTGGTTTAACAAAAAGCAAAACAAACACTTGATGAGCTGGTAGCTCATTGGTAGAGATATGGTGACATGGCAGGGCTTGAAGGGTAGTCTGGGGAAGACAAAGGAAGGAAGAAAATCAGCTCCTCTATGGCTTAGTGCCATGACCATATAGTCATTTTTCTAGTGATAGCACAGTTGATAGCATTCAGTAACAGTGTTTGGGTTCCAGAAGACTTAACTGCAAAATACTGCTTTTTACCACCCTTTCCTCCCTGTTCATTCTGTTAAATGGAGATGATTTTGATGCTTAAAAGATACAATCGCTTGAAATATGTGGACCTTTGCAGAACTGTCTGAATGCATGCAGACCAATTCTTACAAGTTTTAGTTTCTAAAGGAAGATTTTTTGACACACAAGAGAAAGGTGAGGAAGGTTTACAAGTACTTTGTACCACCAGAACAGCATATATCTTCCCTACTTTTTCTCTCATGCCCTATGTAGGCTGCAAAGCTCTGAGTTGCTGTCAAACAGCCAGGAAACTGTCATTGGCAATTTTTGCCCTAGTGAAATTGAATTTTTATTTTTCTTTTTAAACTTTTTAAAGTTTAAAAAGAGAGATTTGTGCTTCAATTAATAAAGAGATGCTTATTTACAGCAAAGAAATTTCTGTAAGATATCTTTCTTATATGTAGTAAACAATTACTGGCAACTTGTTGATTGCTGAAGTATTAGGTTTTGAGCAAAAAACTCTAATTTCTATTCCATGAAAAACATCAAATTCATCCCACAGAGGTGGAAATGACATTACAAAGCTAATATTTCCCATAGAACTAAAATTGCTTACTGTTTTTGACACTGGTGTTAAATGAATAGCTAAGCTTATTTAAATCATTGTAGGAAACACCTCCTAACATTCACTTCGGCTTGAACCAGTCCTGTCTGGTTTTTAAAGTCTGCCATTGAATTATACAGTCTTTTAGCACATTTATTATGTGGATGTCAGTCCCTTCCAAATAACAAGCAATACAACAAGAGGAAACGGTCTGAAGTTGCACCAGGGAAGGTTTACATTGGGTATTAAGAAAGATTTCTTCACTGAAAGGATTATCAAGAAACAAGGAAGTGGTTGGGTCGTCATGCCTGAAGGTATTTAAAAGATGTTGTACTTTGGGACATGGTTTAGTGCTGGACTTGGCAGTGCTGGGTTAATTGTACTTGATAATCTTACAGATCTTTTCCAACCGAAATGATTCTATGATTCTATATAAACTCAAATGAATGGATATCCTGAGGAAACCTCACAGCACGACTGTTGAATCCTGGCGGAAAAGTGAGGCAGACTTTAAAGATTTTACCACCTACATAAGTCATTAGCAAAAAATATTCAGGTTATAACCACAATCAGAAAAAAAAGAATAAAGCTTGCACTCGTGAAATAACATCTTCTTTTAATAAACTCAAAGTCTTTCTCTGGCTGACATCAGTCACCCTGCAAAATATAATAGGGAATCACAAGTGAAACCTACCCAAAGATAAACCTGGAAAAGAGGGGTTAAAAACCTTGACATATCTAAATTATTGTGCTTTTAGACATATATCTGTAGGAGTCCATGAGTCAACAATATATTTTATGACTAATAACAAGCTCTCTGACATATCGTAGTGCATTAAGATATAAATGACCTACTTTGAAGTGCCCTCTCCTGCATATAGTCTCCTTCTGAAACTCCCAAATAAATACATTTGTACAAGTCTAAATACAAGATCTCTCAGATTTATCTAGGCTTCAGAAAAATCCACCTTTTTATTTTTGACACTAATGTACTTTAGAAGCAGCCATCATTCTTCAAACCGCTCAGAGTTACGCATGTCTCCCATGTTCATACCAAACCATAGCCACAGAAAGCTCTGGTGGGCATTTGTGTGAGAGAGACATCCTCTCCCCGAAATCCTTCAGACTAGAGTGATGCAGAGGAGAGGACAGCCTGCTTCTCCAAGGGCTTCTAGGATTTCTTCAGTGGTCTCACATGCATGTGGACTTAGAAAAGAATTATAGAGGAAGACAACTAGAAATAAGGGGCAGTGGCATAAATGAGATCAATCTCTTGCTAATGTTGGATTGCAAGACAATTCTGACCAGGATCCCTCAGCTGGGGAAATGCAGCCCAGTTCCAAGAGATCTGAAGAGGAGATGGGCTGCGAAGGACTATTCTTTCTTCCAGGAATGAAAAAATAACATATTATCTCTGTCAATCCAGCTTAAATGCCAGAACAAAAAGATCTATGTACAAAGACCTAGAGATGAGAAGAATGAAAAATAAAAGAATACTTTCCATTTCCTTTTGGATGAAAACAGATTTTGTTCCTTCCAAATATACTCTAAAATTTACTTTCCAAATTTTGCCACCAACTGGGACAGCTGCTGAGTATGAGCCAAAACGCATCTGGGCACACATAGCACTCAGATTTTGAATTTCTGCCTTTCCTTTCTTTTCTTGGGTAGGTAACTGTCTCCCAAAGTGAACACTAAAAAACACCCTCTGAAATTTAGATGCCATCATTATTGCTTTTCCATTATATCTATTGTGTTCTTGGATCATACAGGATTAATCTGACTATTTAGACTAAGAATTCAATACCAATACAAAATTTAGGTCATTAAAATCTGCCTCTTTGGGATTTTTTTTTTCAGGCAGGTACAAATATAGATCCACGTTTTAATCCTGCTACTTCCAGTGGCAATAACAGTGTGCATGTTTGCAGCACATTCACACACACAAACAAATGGTGAGGATAGGGAATTTTATATTTGCTAGTGTTACTATATGATTTTAATTTAAAAAAATATTTTTTACAAAATAATTAATTTACTTTTGTGTAATATATTTAATATGTACAGCAGTCAGACAGGAATGGCAACTATACAATTAGCAACATTTTCAGTAGCAGGAATTACTGGTGTTGCTGAGTTCCAATGTATAAGAACTGGCTTGAATTTCTTATTCTTTCAAAGCTAACCATGCAAAACCGCATACACCCAGACATTGCCACCATAACACAACTCTTAAACATGATTCAAATCTTGCAGTTCTCTGTATCTGCCGCTACGTATACAAGTATTTCCCTGGATCTGATGTGAAAAGAAATGCTTAAATTCGATTTGGCATTTAATTCCTCTACAGGAAAGCAATAAGAAGAAGCTAACCTTGCAGTCCATGCCTAAATTCCACTGAGTTCAAGTGTGAAGTATTTTATTGAAAGGGAAATGGAGCTAAGCATGTCTAACCTTTCTTTAGGATATAAATCTTCACAGAACCAAACTCCATGAAGAAATGTTTATGCTCAAGTTACTTTTTATTTAAATGTAGCACATTCTTTATTCTGATAATGCAATTAAATATATTTACTTACACAGCAGAAAACTTTCACAGCCATTTCCTCATCAAACTGGCCAAGGATTATCCGAACATCATTTCCCTGCAGATTGAATAAAATATGTGGCAGTTAAATACAGTCACTTTCCAGATACCACTTCAATTGGCCAGTCAGATCATGTAGGGAGTTAGCACAGATTACAACTGCAGACAGTAAAATTAATAAGGAACTAGTTAACTTTCTATAAATTCAAGAACTTGAAGCACCGCAAAAGAAAGAAGCTGAGGTGTTCGAAGAAAATGATTAAGCAATAGCACTAATTAGAATAAAATTGTGATATTACAGTCAAATATTACTTGTCATATATTACTATCCAATAACATTAAAATATCAAATATTCTTTTGATTCCTTGCAAGATTTCTTTTACAATTTTGCATTTTAAAACCAGCTGAAGGCTTACGCTTTTCACTGTTCGCATGAAAAAATGCTGTAAAATTAAGAAACTATATTTGTGAGATAAAATGCCCTGATATTATGCCGCTTTAATAATTTTTAAAGGTTTTAATCATACAGCATCTTCTCTACAGTCACTATAACATATTGTCAATCCCCCCTCTTCTCTCTGTCAACTCCGCAGATTAAAAAAAATCACATTTTAAGAATCTATGACTGAAGTCCAAAGATGACATTTTACTTTCATATTTAGAAACATATTTAGAAAGTATTCCTAAATTCAGAAGCATATGCAGGAAAATATTTCTCCAGGAACAAGCAGGGCTAACCTTTTTCTCATATGAAAAATTACTTCTAACATCTATTAAACACAGAACAGATAGCTTTTTATGACTTCATATTACCTTTTCTTTCACACAAAGGCAGAGTTCTTGGCAAAAGTTTGAGCACATAAAATTTTTCATTTCTTTCATGAAACACCTGGTTAGAATTACTAATAGCTCTTTCCCTCTCCAAGGAAAAAACAAACATATGATTCAGATTGAATTTCAGTGGCGAAAAACATTTCAGTTTTAATTAAATCAATGTATCAAAGATTTTTAGTTTAGATAATTCCAATGTTTATTTCCCATTCAGCAGAAAATATTATGATGGGCAGTGCAAAAAGATATTGGAATGCTTCTGCAATTGAATGCATGAAATTATTATCACTCTTAGCATGGTTAAAGTCAGAAATAATGCAATTTTCTTTGCTCATTCTGAATCTGTGCATTTTCAGTAAGCCTGCTTCTCTTCATTTTTATATTTAGCCACAGACTGATAAAGTAATGTAAATCTTATTCAAGTGGATTAAATTTTTTTAAACAAATCTAACAGGGTCATATGAAACTAAGCAAACAAATTACACAAATTACATCAATAGTATTACAGTTTTTGTAAGGACAATAAATAGATCTAGGAATTATGCAGAAAAAACCCACCTCATCTACTATTTCTATTTTTCACATTTTAAAAATAGTTCTGTCACTCTTGGAACCCCAAGTCTGAATCACTTGATTGCTCTGAACATAAAAATGCAGATCTGATATTTGAAAAAAGAAGTAGCAGAGTTTGATTACAAAATAAATGGCACAGTACCTAATTATTAAACTTAAAATTGAAGAAATTCCATTTCATTTTATAACATGATGAGAACCAATTTACAAAAAAACAACAACAAAAGATGTAAACTATGTGGCCTCATAGTTTATGAGAACCAAAGACTGTAGTCAGGGTGTAGAGAATAATCCCACAGTGTACATACAGCAATGCTGCCCGCTGGCTGTGCAAAACCCTTCAGATTGAAGTCATAGTGTCTGTGGTGTGTGGTTCCACTCCTTAAGACTTTGCTTGCGCCTGATTATCATATAATTCAGTAAGAAATCATGTAACCAAAGAACTGTGTGTTAGAACACAGGTAGAAGGAAATAATTTAGGAAAGTCTGTACAAGAGCTCTTCCTCTTCCATGCATAACATTCTTCCTCTGTGCAATGATGAACTCCTCAGTAAGCCTCTTTCTCTTAACTCTGCTTTTTGCAATCCTTTCTACATTTTTCCCAGATTTGTTCCTGAAGAATTGTATTCAAGATTACAAATAAACCTAGACCCATTTGATGCCAGGCTTGGGTGTCCTGTCTCCATCCTGCATAAGATACATTGAAGCTACAAATTCATTCAACTGGACGTAGCTCAAGACCCTTGCAGATGTTTTATCTGGATGAATAATGAAGTCTGTACAGAAGTGTGTCAGAGTTGGGTTAAGGTCAGCGCTTGTGGGTCAAAGTATATGCCCACATTATAGTCTTATACAAAGAATACAACAGCCACTTTCTGGGCATAACTTTTTTTGCCCTTCATTCATACTGACAACTGACTATAAATCAATATGATTTCCTGGCAAGGATATACTCTTCCTTTACATCAACCCTCTTGAGCTGATGCAAGTTAACACGGTGGAACTTTCTTGTAGGGATCAAAGAAGTCACCCACTGGATCCCAGGAAGTGTCAAGTGTCTTTCTCAGAGAGCTGTAAATTGCTTGCATGGAGCTAAAAGATATTTGACAGAAGAGTTTTTAATTCATGGAACTAGGCAGGTGATCTACAAGATGATTAAAAACATCCTGGGGGAAGGCAACTCCCAAAACTGCACTTATATAAAAAGACCAATGTTTAGACCATTTGCCAGATGGTGAGCTGTCATATTTACTCTTCTCAGAGATTAGAGTAGCAATATCAGCCTTTAAGCTTTGCCCCTCAGTAAGAAATACATATGTTCCCATATGGAGTAAAGTTCAAACAAGATAATGTACATTTCATTTACCCACAGTTGTGGCAGCCTCTGCACAAAAACATGTTTTAAAAATAAAGACAATAGCACAGCCTCAAAAATTAATGACTCTTTTGCTCCCTTCTTTCTTTCATATAGGTGAGGATATTATTCAGCTACTAAATATAAAGTGTCTTCGGTAGCACCATCAGCCGAGTACTATAAACCCTGAAAACAGTGAGGATCAACACCTCTAAGATGTTCCACCAAGGGATGAAGAACAACTTATCTCCTGCACTGCCATTTCTAACAGCCACAGACATGAGACACTCTTTAGCCTTTTCAGAGTTTTTGAGTGATGCACATTATGCTGGAATAGGCAGCTATTTTTTTCAGCCTGCAGAGCTTCTCTTCTTTGCTCAGATTTTAATCTGTCTCATTTCTAATGAATAACACGACTGTGCTGTATTATAGAGCTTTCCGGAGAAGGATTGCTACAATATCTTATATGCCAGGAAAAGTCAATGTCTTGGCATGCTCTTTATGAAATACCTAAATTGAACAGCTCAGATACTCTGTCTTATTCTCTACCATTTATCTGATAGTCAAGAGGTTATCAATAAATCTACACAAAGCGGGGTAACTTTGACACGTTCTGCCTTCTAAATACCTGAATGTCCACTTGAAGCACTATAGATGAGCCTGACCTTAACTATGGAATCACTGATGGTGAAGGTGAACTAGAGGATGTCAACTCCCAGCATCATAACACGCTGGCAAAACTTGTTGATGCCTGTTAGTGTGCATGTCACTTACTGAGATTGATGCCACTTCCAAACCTGTTCAAGGCACAAAATTTTAAAATTATTAAACTTGACTGTTAGAATGAGAGATCATGTTCAATCAGTATTCAAAAAACCTACTGTACTTGGAAAATCAGATGGAAACTGTTTCATTGAATTGGAAGTCATATATTGCAATTTTTTTTTGCCCTGCATGCAAGACACAAAAAAGTTGGAAGCAGAAGTGTCATTGCTGATACAATTTGTCTGTGCATGTTTAGAATTTTTAAGCATTTAAGTTGATGTACAAATGCATATCCTTTAACATCCCTTTCTGTAAACACAAAAATGAGTTTTCAAGATATCTCTAAGCCTAATTTTACCTTTCAGCTGTGATTCAAAGAGGCTGGGGTCAATGCAGTAGAAACTAAGGTGTTACTGGGAAAAATATAAAATATATTTCTGCAAATCATACCAGATTTTTCTATTTTCCATCACATAATCATCGATTTCATTAATTTAAACTGTGTTTATGAAAATAAAAGGTATTTCAGTAAGCAGATACCAGTTTACCTACATGAGGTTTACATCTTGAAGAAAAGAATGAACATATTTAGAACTGGATAGCTATGTTCTATGTCTAACCTAATGCCTATTATGTCTATGTGTACCTAATGACAACTAACCTTATATTTCAGTCAAGAAGAAGACATTGTCTGGATAATTTCTTATTTCTTATTTTACTAATTTGTTTTGAAGAAGAAATCAAGAGATTAATATATTTTTAGTTGAGTCTTCTGGTCTTCCCTATAAAACAACCCAGTGTGTTGTTGACGCACAGAAAAGCTAGAATCACATCTAACTTTCAGCCTAAGTATATATGCTTATATGAATTTTTCTTGTTATTACACTATCTATGGGTTAAAATAGTTCTTCCTTCATTATTGTTAGTCAAAAATGTGGACTTCACTGATAACACATACCAGAGTCTCTTCAACCCCACATAAGAAATGCAAACTGGCTTAATCTGGGCAGACACAAATGGTTTCCTATAAAGATAAACTTTACCCATTAATACTTTAAATATTCCAGCTTACATTTCTAGATTGTGGGAATAATAAAGCCCACTTAATTTACCTTGCTCCAGAACTTTTCCAGCTAGCGTCAGTAGTCTAGTCTTACACAGATCAATATCCTTGCTTTAATTTTGTTTGAGTTTTTTTTCTAATAACAGTTTACTAAGATTTTTGTAACCTGTTTTACAGATATTTAAGTGTTTACAGGATCATGGCTTTGATTGTATGTCAAATGTACTTAGTGCCAGCAACGATTTGACCATCACCATTTAAAAATGCTTTCTCCTGCTGTTCAATAATTTATTGCTGGTTGCACTGCGTGGTAATGCTAAAATATAGTTTGAATTTTACGAGATGCCAGGAGTCTAATAAATCATTATAGTAAGAAAAGGTGGTAAATTATTCTGTTATATTTTTTTTCCTTTTTTCACCCTATAATTCATATGAAATAATGCAGATGATGTAAGCAAAGAATTCAATCTAAAATGTGTAATGAAGCTAACGGAAAGAGGCTCAATGCTTTTGCTACATTTATTTACCTTTGCTACAATAATTTGCCTTAAAATGGTTCTGATTCCAAGCCTCAAGAGTTGTCACACTTATATCACTAAGATTGGGGCTTTAGGTACAAATATTAAGCTAGCAACAGCTTTCTTTACTTATTGTCACTACTGGGAACTATTAAAAATATTTACTATACGCATGGACCTTCATTGACTTAAGCAGGACCAGGCCTTCAAAATGCCGTTTTTTTAATCTTATTATGCAATGGAATGTAATAATATGTCATTCTAACACAAATTTTGTTTCATTAGCCCTCTTCATCGGAAAAAAAAAATGCTGCTTTCTTGTTATTCCTCAAGCAGCAGCACATACCTTAAGCTTCTTTACACTTGTGCAGGGATCATTGGAAAAACTCTCAGTATCTGAAATCTCGATGTCTTCACCATAAAGGACGCCAGTCAGATCATTCCTCACCTGTCAGAAGTTGAGAAAAAGGCAAACTAGTGAACTGAGATTCAGTGAGAAGGAAGCAGATGGAATATATTTATCACTGTGATGACAAGTAACAATCTTGAGAATGATAAATGAACCTGCATATCTTTTTCCATTTTGTCTAGAATCTGATCAAGGCACTATTCCTTTATGACCATAATCTACTATCAATGGCTATACTATGCAAGAAGTCTTATTATGTGTGGTGAAGAGTTCACAGTAGGCTCCCACTTTGCACCATGGGGATGGATAATTCTCCTATATTTCCTAGGCTGTTAAGACCAAAAACTTTGTTGCAGCCAAGATGATGTTTGAGACTCTATAAAGGCAAAAGACTCATTAAGGAAAATCTTACACATACTCAAGTACTGATTTGAAACCACTGTCAGCTGGTCCTAGCATGAATCAGCAGAGCTTAGTTTCCAGCATTTAGGGACTGATAAAGCTTAATGAACTCCTTTGTGCCCTCCCCCTCTCTTAGACCATGGAGCAGCAGGTGGTATAGGTTGTTTAAAGGTGACACATACAACCATGTACCAACAGATTTTTGCACCTATTTTTTTTTAATAGTGGCAAGACTGTCCTCTTTGAGCTGTGTAATAGCACAAAGAAGCCAGATAACACACAAAGCAATCTGGCTTATCGATTTAAGGGGTTTGTTTCATATAAATACTTCAAGGTTTTCTGTCTTAATCATTGATGGTTTTCCTCCAGCCACATGACTGCAAAACTAGTTTCACATTACTATTCCTAATAGATAAGCAAAAATAATTTTAGTCTGTAACATGATTACACACTGAAATGAACAGAGTGGCACACCAATTTTAAGTTAATAAAATTATGATCACATTCATGGCACTGATTATCTATTTAATTTGTTTTTAATGACAGAAATAGGAGAAGTAAATCACGGTGTAAAGCAGGTATCTCAAAAGCAAACACAGAAAATAGAAGATGGAAGATATGTGGTATTAAACATGAAAATTTAGAAGCCTATATATCATATGAAGATACTTTCCGATGACCCTCTGTATGGGTCATTTCCTGACAATCATTACTACAACAGCTGCCCTAATTACTTCTTCCATGACCTCTATGTAATTTTATCCCTTTTAACCATGCTTTAAAATCACTAAGACGCATTTTTACATTATAACCTTTTACAATTAAAACAAACAGGACATATAAGTAACTTTTAATTTAAAAAATAGTTTATCTTAAAGAAGCAAGTCAGAATGGTCAGCTCACCAACATTTTAGTTAAAACTTTTTATCTTTTTGTGATGTTATCAGTTTTTAAGCTAATTCTGTGAAAATATATTCACTGACAAAAATGATCAGTAATGACTCCTTTTTCTGCTAGTTTACTAGTAAAAATGAATTATTGTTATTTTAGCTCCAACAATGCCATTAACTGCTCCTCACGATACAGGTTTTTCTCAATAAAAAGAAAAACTTTTTTTCTGAAACAAACCATTAGTGATACCAAAAGAAAACAGACCTCTCTTGATCATAGTTCAGCTAATGTCCAAAATCCTTTTACCTAGTATGAAAGTTCACTAAAACTATCATTTGTTACTGACAAAAAGTAATATTTTCCTTAGCTATCAGCACTGTACTTTCCAAGCAAATGTGTCATATGCTTCTACCCCATACTGTCCTACTTTCTTCTGTACAAGAACATTTTTAGTTTTAGATTTGCTTTTCTGATATTTTCTTGATTTTCTGCTGAAACCTATTCTAGTCATTTTTTTAATCTAAAAATAGACTAGTTTAATACTATTCAGCTACTCTGAGCAGAAAACCTGATTTACCCAAATACTCTTTAGTCAAATTAGACCATTATTAATGTGAGAACCGTGATAAAAAAATCCACATTAAATATTATTAAAATAGATTAACACTTATAGATAGGCTTCAATGGTGGGCATAAAACTGACAATTATAAAAATTACGCTTCAGACTGTCTACTGACTTGCTGTGACTCCATCCTTTCAGAACTCATTCATGAGCTCTGCAACTGAAGAATACAATTGCATACGTTTGGTTTTTTTTCTGAGTAACATGCATTTAAATTCAGCCATTGAGAAATTTCTCTAAAATGTCCTGGCTCATCTGCTAGAAGCCAAGTCCTCTGTAGCTTTCAGAGCTCATTGAACTACTGATCAACCTCCCAAAAGACATACCTTACTAGATTTTTATGCCAAAGAAGTTGAAAAACTTTTTCCTTCACTGCTACAATCACATATTTGAAATTTTCCAGATGCATGTGTTGTGGAGATTTTGCCAAAGAAAGGTGATTCTTTCCCATTACCCCAACAAGATACTAAGAGCTTTATAAGCATTTACAAGGTTTACACTGGTTTTCTAGAAGGCAATGGTTTTTTTCCCCTTTCAATGCTCTAACCGCTAGTCTGACACGTCATCTTGTGCCTGGTCTGGGGTATTTATACTATATTTCCCAGTCTTTGTTTCCTCTTTCCATACTTTTATTTTCACCATCCTCAGGGTCTTTTCCTCCTTTATAAATACTCTAAATATATAATGGAATGGAAATTTCTGGTTTTCTTTCTACAAAGGTTATTAATTTCTTTCAAATAAATTTAACTACGGAATCTTCTGATTTGGATTTGGGTCCAAAGTCAGAATTTGCAAAGCCTCACCTCCAGTTCTAGAGCTGCCAACTCCTGTTGCAAACATTCCGATTTTGGATGAAATTTGTGAAACTCAGAACGCAAAATTATGGATATTTTGTTTTAGCAGATGCTTGCAGTCCTGGAAAGTGTGATCACCAGCAGTACAAGCAGTTTTAGAGCTCAGCAGCAATTGTTTCATTCCAGCAACTCCAAGTAAAGAGAATTATAGAACTACTATACTTCTGCTTCTTTTTTTGTGAAATAGGATAATTTCAACTTGAGGAATTTGCTGTAGAAAATTGTAACAAAACTGCATTAAGTTTTTGTGGGGAATCCACAGTTCCTAAGTAAATATTGCGCTGACTTATAATACAGAAGCAGTGTAATTCCATGTGCTTTTATTCCCTCGTTAACGATTTAATGAACGTTGTAGATCTATATCTGTTTATATCAACTTTGCATACCTTGAAGACAGCAATATTTTATTTTTCCAAAACAGGAACTACCAAACCTGATCATCAATAAAACTGGAAATTTTCACAAATCACTGCTCAGAGACCCTAGTCAGTCTCTCAGAGACCCTAGGCGGTAACTCAGAGAAAAAAACATCATTAAAATAAAGACAATTTTACTCTGCCTACAAAGATGAAATCAATATTTTGCCAGACTACATATTTAATCTATGTGTGGTCAACTTCAAAACTTACTGGGGTGGAAATACCAAGGAGCAAGCTCCAAAAAAAAATATGAAGGGTTTGTGTCATGTGTAAGGGACACATTTGCAGCAAGGAAAGGATGGCCCTTGTGCTTGAGGCACAAGAGAAGGTGGGATGCAAGAAAACGGCTTTTTCCCTCATTCTGCCAGAGCTCCTCTTTCACTCAGCTCATGACTGAAAGGTTTTAAAGTTTGCTACCAAGTCTGGCTGTATCTTTTTCCTGTGAAGTGGATGGCAACAATACTTGCCTACCTCATAGCTGCTGTATCAGATTCAGTGATGTTTGAGAGGCAAACAACAAAGTCCCTGACCCTGCACCTGGGAAGGAAGAAATACAGGGGTTTTGATGAATCAAGAACTTGCACTGCCAAGGAAGAAATTAATTTCTTTAATCTCTAGCAAATTGAGAGAGTAGATAAAATAACGAAGTGGATTGTAAAAAATAATGAATCTAGAGGAGATCAAATTGCGACACTCTTGTGCTCTGTATCAGGAGGGATGGATGAAGGTTTAAGGAAAGGAAGTAAATGTTGGGGAGCAGCATGGGCTGGCTGCCCCATAGGGAAGAGGGGTGCAAGTGTAATCACAGAGCCCCTGGGCCAGGGATCTCACCAGCCAACACCCCAGCAAGGGGAGCCTTGGAGAGAATAGCCAGTTTCAGCCATGAGGTGACACCTCCATGCAAGGTCATAGCAATAAGGCAGGTCCAGGGCAAAGCTGGGAAGTCCATCCACAAGTCTGGGACAGGAAGGGGTCTGGTGAGAACTAACAGAATCAGACACAACCCGTGATTGCTGGGTAGATCCATACCAACAAGACAGATCTGGGAACAAGCCAAGACATGGATCCAAGCCAACAAGGTCCGTGCCAGGCATGGCTGTGATGGAGAGAAGGAGAAACCAACACTCCCACAGCATCCCTGGGGCACAGACCGATGGCACCAGGCTGAGCTGAAATAGAGTTATGGACGATGAGGTAGTCTTGGGGGGCAGGTCAGAAAGGCCTTTAGATGTTCTCAGAGCCCTGGCACTGAATTCTGGTTGTTTTTTACTTCCTATATGAAGTATGTATGATGATTCTCTGCATACAATATATAAATGATCCCGTACCTCACAAGGATACAAAAGTTGCACACACGTTGATCTTGTTTTAGGTGAAATGAGAATTCTCACTTCAGTTGGAGCAAGCACCTGCTGACCAGTAGTAAATAGTATCCATTTGACCACAGTATTTCATTATTTTTTAAGCCAATTTTATCCTTTTTTTTCTCTAGTAAAATAGTAAAGAAAGGTGATATTCCTGATGCATTGTCACTCTAGTGATGGTAGTTTGGGTTCAGGGGTCTCCACTGACCAAGGTTTCAGACTAGGTTTCAAAATATATTCTCAAAGGCACAGTTCATTCAGTCAATCCTAACTCCGCCAGTTATTTACTAAATAAATTTAATAACTTTTAGATTAATAATACTACTTTGCTTTTAACAGATATTTCCCATGACCTTTTGGTTCACTAAAGCTGCATGTAAGTACAGCAAACTAAATCCTTGTCATTCAGAGCAGTTTAATCCTACCAGATGCTGACCATAAGAGACTCCTAACAAATGAGAACTGGTCAGACCAGATGGATTACAC